AACCGAAAAAAAAAAAAAGAAACAGCCCAAATGTCCAACAACAAACGAATGGATTGAGAAATTGTGATGCATTCACACAATGGAATACTATTCAGCACTCAGGAGCAACGGTTCTGTACAATACTATATAACATAAGAGAGTCTGGAGAACATTATGATGAGTGAATTAACTCAGTCTCACAAGGATAAATGTCGCGTAAGATCATTACTGTAAAAATAGAAGTATATTAGTAAGATGTGTATAAAAGTCCAGAAGGGGAAGAGGCAGGGACCAAAGGAGGGAGACTTTGAAATGACTAGGATAGCTGAGTTGGGTGGGTGGGTTGGGAAGGGGGGCAGTGAAAGAATGAGAAAGATCTAATTTGGATCTGAAAAAAGGGGGTAGCGGTAGGTATGTTGTTGTTGTTAAGTGCCGTCGAGTCGCAAGCAACTCATAGCGACCCTATGAAGGAGAGTCCTCAATGCTTGGGTGCCTTTCACCCTCTCTCCAAGTTCATAGGGTTTCCGGAGGTAAGCTATTATGGAAGTGGATGCCACTCCTTCTTCCAAGCTAGTTTTAATTGGGGAGCTCCACCCTACTCTCTGTCCACATTGGGTAGCCAGTCATTAATGCATTTGACACACCAGTGTCATGGTGTTCAGCTTCACAGCAACCAAAAGTGAACGCAGTACGGCAACTTGTACACCAGGGCTATACTACCCAGAGGAATGTCTTTGGCTTGGTAGCATCGCTTTCTGTCCACTGGGCCAGCTGATCTCTCTCTCTATGTCGATATTATTGTTGTTAAGTGCCGTCGAGTTGCAGGCGACTCATAGCTACCCTATGAAGGAGAGTCCTCGATGCCTTTTATCCTCTCTCCAATTAATGTTATTAAATAAAATAAAATAAAATGTATATGTATGATCCGTGAAACTGTAATTACAATGTTATATGTCATTGTATGCACATGTGGAATTTCTATATAGCTGTCTGTGTGTATTCTCAGTAAAAATAAAATGAATTAAAAGGAAACCAAACCTGATGAAGGGTCATCTTTAAGTCAGTTCTGATTAAATAGCAGTGAGTTTTTGACGGTGCATCTAATAGTTTGGATGGAGCTCTGCATTCAAAGAAGTCTGGGCAGTACAGGGGAGAAAGCATCATCCTGGTAGCTGATAGCAGCATATTTCTTGGGAAGAAGCTGTTAATAATCACGCACATATAGTTGGCATCCTATATCATATACACAGTGGATCTCACAGAAGGAGAGATTCCTTCAGAGAAAGAGAGAGCAACTGCCTAGCTGAGCTGGGGCTTCTGGACAGCAACCCATCAGTAGAAGTGATGATCAACAGTAAATCAACTCTCAATTGCTGGTAAACCCCTGTGTGTCAGAACAGAATTGTGCTCTTTCAGACTTTTACTAGTGGATTTTTTCAGAAGAAAATCACCAAGTTTTACTTCCCAGGTCCTCTGAGTGGATTTATCCTGTCATCCTTTCTGTTTAATGGTGGAGTGTTTTAATAGTTTCTCCTGGTCATCAGAGGCTAGATGTCAAAACAATGCAGTTGTTCTTGGTTTTGTTTATTTCTTAATCAAGGAAAGACACAGAGCTCCAGGTAAAGATAGCATGAGATTTCGCAGGTTTTCATCGGGAGTAGAAACATCTCACATTCCAGAGATAAACTTGGATCTTTAAGAAGTCTTAAGTTGTGAGTAGTAAGCTCACCAAAAAGTGGCATGGCAGAGCTTTGGCCTAGTCTGGTTTGCTGCATGAACTCGGGTCATTTCCTGCATCTCGTTTTTCTCTCTCACTTTATTCACTGGGCCTGATTATGGCCAAGATGAGGGTGAGCTCACACAGGAGTGGCCTTGACATAGATCTGCACAACAATGGTAGTCAGTGATGTCATGGAAGTCTAGGAGATGTGCAGTGAAGCTCTGACCCTTATATTCACGACTTTATGGGGAAATTTTGAAATGATTCACTGTATTTTTTCTATAGAACCAGAAATCCTTCTTCACCAATTTAACAAAAAATATTATATTCGTTTCCATTATTAAATTCAAAACCTGTGATTTCATTTGCCTGTACCAATGTTTCTCAAACTCCAATCTTCAGAAGTGATGATGGGTAATATGTATAGTTATCTCAAGTAGTACAATGATGTTCTCATTTTTTTTAAAAAAACAATATAAAGAAAAATAAAGAATATTATGCAGTATTTGAATGTACTTCCATTCATATTCTGCATATTATGTATTTGAAATATCACATCCAAGACATATGGCTCTGAAAAGATGCCAGAAAATCAAATATAAATGTCCAGATTTTATAATTCCTATAAAACATGGAATTTCTAACTCTGAAGAATATGTACCAATTCCAGTGCTATATTTGCAGACCCCTGGGATCCAGCAGGAGAAGATTTACTGGTAATGAATTAGATAATTGCCCATGGGTTTCTCCAAGTGTCTTCTCTATCAGCCTGACATCCTAGATCTTGTCACATTGCCTGGAATTCCGTCACAGAGAGATCTCTGGGTTAATGAATCTGTCTTTATTTGTATGTCAGTGAGGATGAACAGTGTGACAGTCCCAGGTCAACATGAATTACTTCCCTTTTGAAGAAACTGACAGCAGCCCTCTCAGAAACCTACTACTCTGACAGGATAAGGATGTAGGTAGTATAAGGAGATGGGAGTTTCTGGGAGGTGAATATAGTTAAGTACTTGTTGTTCTTGTGATACTTGATACTACAGTATCAGAACTGACCCTCCCATGGGTTCTCAGAGGCCATTAATTTCATGGGAAGAGACTTCCCACTCTTCTCTTGTGGAGCAAGAAGCTGGTGGCCTCAAATTGCATGCCTTTGGGATTGCCGTGCAGCTTCTTGCCACTAGACCACCAGAGGCACTTTGAACCTACTCAGAGACACCTCAAGACGGTAGAGACCCAGGCCCAGTGACCTGCTCCCAAAAGCACACAGTTATGGAAATTCTATGGCACACAGTTCTACTTTGTAATCTATGGGGTCACCAAGAGTCTATAGCCAATTTCACTGGTAATTGGTGTTGCTGGAGGGAGAGAATGGGATAGAGAAGAAAGGACTTTGAAAACTCCAGCCCCAAACAAGATAAGGCAGAGAGTATATATAATGGATTTTGAAGGAAGAAAGGGATATGGATGGGTCAGAAAGAAGCACAAAGGGGTTCTGGGAGATTTATCCAGTGAGAACCATAAAATAGGCACTATTTTGTACTATTTGAGGAAATGCCAAACTGCCTTCTAGTGTGTTTGAACCACTTTGCAATATCATCAGCAGTGCATGAAAGTTCCAGTCTCTCCACATCCTTTCCAACATCTATCGCTTGCTATCAAAAAGCTGAATATAGAAATCTCACACTATTGGAAACATATTCCAAGGAAACTAAATCTGAGATATAAATGGAGATATTTTTTTACACTTCTGTTCATAGCAGCATTACTCACAAAAGTAAAAGGAAACAGCCCAAATGGCCATCAAAAAAGGAAAAGACTAAGAAATTACGGTATATTTACAAAATGGAATATTATGCAGCATTAAAGAGCAGGGAGTTTGTAAAATACTGTGTGTGTGTGTGTGTGTGTGTGTGTGTGTGTATATATATATTATGGTAGACTCTGAAGAGCATTATGCTGAGTGAACTAATTCAGTCTTATAAGGACAAATACTGCAAAGGACCATCATTCTGAAAATAAAAAGTTAATTAGTACGATGCAGATAAAAGTCCAAAAAGAGAAGGAAAGGGGGTCACGATGAGGTAAATCATTAGAATAACAGAGTATGGTAGGTAGACAGGGGTGGGGATGAAGGGATTAGGAAAGATCCAATAGAGACCTGAAAATATAAGGTAATAGAAAGCATTGATCAATGTTGATTAATTTTATAAAACATATGTACAGAGTGATCATATGAAACACAACATGAATGTAGGAATGTGTGAAATACAAAGTACATGAATGATACACAATGTATATGAATTTAACATACAAACCGATATAAAATAAAACTAAATATAGGGGTAAAAAAAGCACCTTTCTAAAAAAAAAAGCTCTTTTCTCTGATTTAAAGCAAACAAGAAAGTATCTTAAACAGAATATACCTCTAAATGATTGCAGTAAATCACGAACAGGAGGCACACTCTTTGAGCTGCTTCATTAAACAGCACGTAGTTCCCTTTACTACCTGTATCCATTTCCTTCTTGATTATATAAGGGTTTTTTTGTTTTGTTTTGTTTAAGTCCAGTTCTTCCCCCAAATCTCCATGATGGTCACTCTAGGTGTGCTGAAATACAAGTCTCCATGGGGGTGCAGCCTCTGGGAGCAGTGAATGCTAAGGGCACCTTCTTAACACTTGCATAGCACACAGCAATCCACACCTCAAAGTTTCAGATTCAAACCAGACACTTTCTGTGTCACTGATTAGTGTAACATAGCGGTCCTTCTGATCAAAAGTCATGAAGCTCTGCAGTGAATCATAGAATTCCACTTCAGAAAAGAACTTACACTGCACATAGCCAGCTCCGCTATTCACTATTCACTATTTACTTCAAAGTCCTTCAAGTCCCATCCCCCACTTTGTGTCATCATAACCAAGTCTTGCTGTCATCCATGAAAGACAGCAGAGCATCAAAGGGGAGGAACTGATGCAGAGACATATTAAGGATGATCACAAAATTGAGTCAGGCATCCTTAAGAACCAGTTCCCACGAGCGGAATGCAGAGCAAACAGACAGGTTGCATGTCAGCTAGTTCACTCACTAGTGCTGGAATTCTGTCCGTCCCCATCTCTGAGATGTGGAAGGGGGTGGCAGGTGCAGTTTACATCCTGACTTTTAAGGCACTGTTCTTGCTTTGATTTTTAGGGAAACTTAGCAAGTGAAAGAATCCAACACTTCTCCATGGCCATCTTCTCCAGGAAGCAACTTGCCCTACAAAGGACTGAGTTAGAAATGAGGTGGAAGGAAGTGCCATACCTGGTCCAGCTTCCAGTGGAACTCGGCAGGTCGAAAGGTGTCAGCCTGGTCAAAGTCCTTCCTCAAGAGGAAAACAAGGCGGCAGTTGTGCACATACAGAGCGTAGTGGTGCCGGTTCATTTCTGAAAGGGAGAAAGAGGATTTGGCGGGAATGACAGGCTCCTTGCATCAATTTCTGTCACAAGAACCTCCTTATGAAATCACTTAAAACAGTTGATAGAGAAACTATGCTATGCTCACACACTGGAATATTATGCAGCACTAAAAAAGGTGAATGTGTAAAATACTACACAATGTGGATGAATGTGGAAGACATTATACTGAGTGAAGTATCTCAGTCACAAGGGGACAAATACTGCCTAAGGCCACTACTAGAATAAGAGGATTGAGATGGGGAGAGGGAAGAGTGGGAAAAGAATGGATAGACAATGAAGACCACACTGAAATGGGTGAAAGGATGGATAATCTGGGGCAGCTAGAAACTGGGGACAATTAGAAACTATGTGTATGACAATGAATAGCTTGAAACAGGACAAGCATTGCATAGGGATTTGGGGGAGGGAGGAAATATGTACATGAATGAATGAATGAATGAATGAATGAAAACCAGTATCCACCTGTTATACTGTGTTCATGGTGTGGGGAGGGACCAGTCCTTGGAGAGGGACATTATGCTTGGAAAGGTAGAGAGACAGTACAAGAGAGGAAGATCCAGGCTGAGATGGATTGACTCAGTGACTGGGGTAATGGGAGTAGGTGTGTCAGAGATGATGAAATTGGCTCAGGACAGAGCAGGGTTCAGAACTGTTGTACATTGGCTCGCTACAAGTCTCAAGCAACTTGACAGCATGTAACAACAACAAGAACAAATGAGAAAAACCAAAACAAAACCAGGACAGTTGCGTTGAAATGACCATCATGATGCCTTTGCCTACATCAGAGCAGAACTATGTCCTAGGGGGTTTTCAGTGACTGATTGTTTTGGAAGTAAATTGTCAAGTTTTTCTTCCCAGGCGACTGTGGGTGGGCTTCGACTTTCAACCTTGAACTATTTTGGTTAGCAGCCGAGGGCATTCGCTGTTTTTCCTACCCTGGAGCTCCCCATCACTGAGCCCTCTACAAAGACAAAAAGCACATGAACATTCCAGTGTTCTCTTTTATAATTAGTTCTGATGAACATTCTAGAAAATATAGTTGGCAAAAAGGAAAGGCAGAATCAAATCAGCCCAAATCAGAAATCCTGCCTAAAGCCGATTTGAGTGTACATTTCAATTTTCCTGACTTCTATACACAACTGGTGCTATTCTATCTGTCCTAGAGAGAGTGAAATCAAGTTTCTCCTTAGAGGATAGGATTTTGAAGCTCCGCCTCACATACTTTGACCTAGAAGGGCCTGTCCTTAGAGAAGTACATCATGCTTAGAAGGGTGGAGGGACAGCACAGGAGAGGAAGACCCCGGATGAGACAAATTGATACAGTAACTGGGGCAACGGGGGTGGGCGTGTTGGAGTCGGTGAGACTGGCCCAGGACAGGGCAGGCGTCAGAACTGCTGTACATAGGGTGGCTATGAGTTGCAGGTGACTCAATGGCACATAACAACAAGAAGTAACTGAAAGTGAACAATATTAAAATAAAACTAGTGTGGAGTTGCATTCCATTTATAATGACACAATGGGGCACAGTAGAACTGTGTTTCTAAAACTATAATCTTTATGTCATGTCTTTCTCCCACTAAACAACTTGTCAAGTGTCGTTGAGTTGAGTACGACTCACAGTGGCCCTAAGACAACAGACCCGAACCCTGGTCTATCCAACCACATCCTTCTCCTCCCCGGCACACTTGAGCCCACAGCAGCAGACAACGTCTCATCTCACGGAGGGGCTTCCTCTCCTCTACGGACCCTCTGCCTTTCCTACTGTGTTCAGACTGCTGACCTGTGGTTAGCAGCTACGTGCTTTACACACTGCAACACCACCAGGGCTCCTTAATTGGCGGTATAACTCAGAAGGAACGCTGTCACTCTCCTCCAATCAAATTAAGAATTAAACCACAAATTATTGAGCTATTTTTTTTAAAGTGGAACTACTTCCAGCCTGGTGCAGAGAGAGCTCACTGCCAAGCACGTTGGTCACTCTGGGGCCCTTTAAAGTGGTTGCCTTCTCCTAGAATCCTGAAGTTTTGTTTCATCAGGTGAGGCCAGTGTGCACCGAGCATGCCTTCTTATTCTATCTACTATGGACTAGATGGAGCTTCCTGGCTTGTAGTCTTAGACAGAGTTCAGTGACTTCCACCCTGTTCCCATTGACAAGTAATTGACGGAAACGTCCCCCTTCTCTGTCCATTGGTATAAAATGTCCTTTACTGTTTTGCAAAACAAGGTCCCAGTTATGATGCCTACAGACACACAAACTACCTACTGGGGAGGGAAGGAGTGGTTCCTTGACCAATAGTGAGAGATCTTACATTTTACTGCCTTGAAGCATTTACTACCACCAGACACACACTTTATAACTGTTGGCTGAACAAGGTGATGTGGAAACAGTGCCCCCCCCCAAAAAAAAAACCCAACCCTCCAAACATTACTCCTAGATTCAGATAGAGTAGGCTGAACTGAATCCCCAGAGGAACTTGGGAGGGCTATTTAGAATCTCAGTCTTAGTTTCTCTAATTAAATCATGGCAGAATGCCGGATTATCTTAAACCGGGCTGCTCCTTGGAGGCAAGGGTTCTGAGGCTTCGTCTGACATACTTTGAACATGTTACAAAGAGGGACCGGTCCTTGGAGAGGGATGTCTTGCTTGGGAGGGTGAAGGGACAGTGCAAGAGGCGAAGACCCTTGATGAGATGGATTGATTCAGTGACTGGGGTAATCGGGGTAGGTGTGTCGGAGACAGTGAGATTGTCACATCACAGAGCAGAGTTTAGGGCTGTTGTACATAGGGTCGCTGTGAGTCGGAAGCAACTTGAGGGCACATAACAACAACAACAACATCATGACAATAGGATATTGCAGTTGATTCTTGTACATACTTTGCAAGTAAGAGTCGGGCCGCTCTATAGTAAATAAAATAAGAAGGCATGCTCTGTGCACACCGTCATCACCTAATAAAACAGAACTTCAGGATTCTAGGAGAAGCCAACCACTTAATCTTAACTACCAGCTCTGCTTCTGTGATGGGTCCTGATCGGCCCACGCGAATAGGGCAGTTCAAGGCACTGGTGGCCTAGTGGCAAGAAGCTGCACTGCAATCCCAAAGGCACACGGCTGGAATCCACCAGCTGTTCTGCAGGAAAAGGATGGACAAACTCTTCTCATGTGATTTACTGCCTCTAAAAGACTGCAATAGGTCATCTGTTCCAACTGGATGGTACACAATAACAACTAGGGGCTGGATCGTTGATGGGCACTGTAGAGTCGGAACAAATCCACAGCTGACCTTCCCATGGGTTTTCAGAAGCATTTAATCACCTGGGAGGAGATTGCTCAACTCCTGCAGAGCAGCCGGTGACCTTGAACTACCTGCCTTTGGGATAGCAGCATAGCTTCTTAACTGTAGGCCAACAGTGCTCCCTAGAGGTTGGGTTAGGTACCTCACACCCAAGTCAAGTCCAGCAGAACAGGACAGGAATTAGCAATTGGCTTAACTCAGGCCACTGATGCAGTGAGGATTTCTGGGGGAGGATCTTCCTCACTATTAGCTGATAATGAGTAGAAGGGATATTCTCTTTCCCCACAGAGAGTTGTCATGTATTGTTGGGAGGAGTATACTGGAGCTGCTATAACTGTACTTATGGAGCTCTGACAGCCTCGTGGTAAGAAATTGTGTTGCAACCCCAAAGGCATGCAGTTCGAATTCACTAGTTGTTCTGTGAGAGAAAGATGAGCAATCTCCTCCCACATCTCTGAAAGCCGGCTAGTGCGTCAGCTTTGAGTCAGTTCTGACTAGGCGTTACTCAACAGTAATAGCCACATTTGCTAACACAAAATTTATTTCTGTATAAGGGCAAGTGCAGAGAAATAGAGCTAAGGCCTTGATCAAGCTCTTCCTGAAACCCTCTTAACTCAGAACCTTTTCAGTTCTGAGAATCCCACATTCCTTTTTTTTGTCATTTTTAATGAGTTGCACCCCAGAGGACTGCCTTAGCTGAGTCCCATTTTTTTTCCCATTTAAACATTTTAATGAAAGTTTACAGAGACAGTCATTCATTGTTGCACTTTTCTCCCTGCTCACCCCCTCCCCCTATTCACTCTTCTCCTTGGAAAGAAAAAGAAAAACTCTTTCGTTGTTATGCAATCCTCCCCCAAAGTCCACTCCACTATGCAGCCTTCACTCTGGACTTCTGTAATGACAAGAATACCCATTCATATGTCCCTTTTAACCAGTGTTCTCTCTCATCTGTTTCAATGCAGTATACATCATTCCTCCCCTCCTTTTCTGTCTTCCCTCAACCCTGATGTCAGTCCTGTTTTACAATAGTGGCCCTATGTAATATTTGTCCTTTTGTGACTGAGATATTTCACTCAGCATAATGTCCTCCAGGGTCACCCAGTTTACATAATATTTCATGAGTTCCTTGTTTTCTATGCAGCCTAGTATTTCATTGTGTGAATATACCACAGCTTCTCTATCCATTTGTTTGTTGATCATTCCTTTTATTGTTTAAATCCATTTAATCTGCATTTCCTCTTTCTTGTAACCGAAAGCATCTTAGTTGGCACAATGAGGAAATGTACATAAAGCATCTGTCCAGAACAGACGCTCAATACCCATTAGTTATTATAAGCATTACTACACGGCTTCATAGCCACAGCAGCAAGACAGTGTGTGTGAGACACTATTTCTACACAATCATTGCCATTCTTCAGAACCTAACTGAAGAATGGCCAGAAAGAGGGTGATCAGATGCTGTGTCTTATGAGACTGGCTGGGTGACCCTTAGCCTATACAACTCTCACTTCAACTTGGTTCTGGGGATTTTTAGCAAACATTTTGTCCTCCTAATTTTTTTTTTTAATTACTTGGGTGTCCCTTCCCCTGGCTCTAAGTTTTTTTAGGGGCAAGACATTTTTATTAATCACATCTCTTTATTTTTTTTAAAAATTGTTTTTGTGTGAGTGT